TTATACGTGCATAGCAAGGCACGGGACCTAACATTTTGTTCACTATATCCAGGAGTTCACTATAAACCGTGTTCACTATAGCGGGGTTTGACTGTATTTCCTTTTTTTGTAACAATTTATCAAAGATGTAAATCATACACAGATATTTGGGATTTAATTTTTAAAAAAATATTAATTTTATAAACAATAGAAGCAAATAATACACAGTGCAGCATCCTAAAATTTTGAATAGAGAAAGTTCCAATAAGTTTTTTTTCTTCCCAAAACAGATGTTTTTGTTTCAATTAAGAAAAAATTCAATGTAAATATTTTCCTTTATCTATCAACTAAAATGTTGTTTAAGCTATTAGTCTAAAATTTGCCATTTTTTTGTAGTATTATAAATATCAGTATGGCAGCTTTAATGATGCTGCTACATATATTTTTTTCTTATCTGAACTAAAAAACCAGAGCTGTCACTTTGAAGAAAACAAATGTTTATCACTTACACAAATAGATTTTTTTATAAATACATTTATTTTTTGGATGAGTTTGATTTTTAGGAAAAACTATAGCACATATCTAAAATTAGAAAAGACATTGCAAAATTATTTTTTTTATCACTATTAGCAATAGAATTTAAAAAACGCCAATGAAAACAACCAATACGGAAAGTGTTAAGATACACTCAAGTTGAATAAAATGGAAGAATAATGAATGAATAATTTGAAATGAGTTGAATAATTTGAAAATTTTATACTTGACATACCCTTGGACTAAATTGCCCACCTGGTGTCCAAGCTGGCCTGTCATCTCTGTTCATCTAAAAATAAAACAGAACCAAGTTAAAATTTATTATCGATGGAATGTTCTCAGATAATGCATAGGAAAACTTCTCAGTGTTACTTGGAACAGAGAAAAATTTTTATTGATTTTCCATCGGTACAAAAGTTTTGGTCATAATTGCCAAGCAAAAACTTCTTTGAACAAAAATAAATAAATGAAAATTGGGTTCAATTTGATTGTCTCAAACTGAAAGTAAATATATAATTCTATAATATCGATACTAAATTGCTAAAATTAACTGACTAGACTTAATAATAAACAAATATTTTTTTAAAGAATTAAACTTTCTTAATAAATTGTCAATTTAGTGAGATATTTCCAATTAGTTAAAAGCGCCATTAAAATTGATGAATATTTTTCAATTTTTGCCTATTTCATTGTTTCAGGGAACCTAAACAGATGGACTAATCTTTCAAACATTAAAAAATTGGATAGTATAAGTTTTTCTTCAGTAAGAAACAGTATATTTTCTTCATATTGAAATTTCAGGGTATTTTCATTATTCTCGCAAAGGGTGTTAAACAGAAATGATGGATGAATAAGAAAGAAAGATATAATTAAGTAAAAATAAAGTAATTGGTTAATGGAAAATTTCTTATCTTAGCTGTGAGTATGATAATTACCTAAAATAACCACATACCTTCATTCTTTTCCTTTTTGCCTTCTCTCGGGCTCGAAAAGATAGCTAAAATAAAAATTAGAGAAAGGGGAAAAAATCAGCAGTGTTTCTTTAAAAAAAGAAATGCAATATAGTTACTCAATGAATAGAAAACTTATTAAAATAATTTTAAAAAAAAACATTCTTTGTAATAATGCAAATATAAAACTTCTCCCTACCTTTTGTCTTTTTTCACAAAACATTATTTTTTTGTATCCTTTGCTTTGTAATTTTTTATTATTCTAATTATAAATATAATAACTAAAAAATTTTTTTATCATTTATAAGGCCCATCTTTGTCTCTTTATGACTATCTTAAATAATACAGCAGGCATTAATAAAATATTTTGATTAACTTACGTATTTATGCATATAATTGAGGTATTATGCTTAGTGCTAAAACAATTTAATTACTAAATTGCATTTATCATAGAACTCTGCATATTCTTAAAACTAAATAAAGCTGGCCATTTACTAAAGTTGATCAATTTTTAAAATATATTTATACATAAAATTAAGTTTTCTATAGGAATAAAAAAAAAAAAATCATAAGTAGAGTGAAAATGATGAGTTTTTAAAATTTAAATAATTTGCTTAACCACCATAAATCTGATTTTCATACACAAAAATTATTTTGATAATAGTCATTGATTATACTATTTTTGGGGTGGAAAGAAGTTCAACATTACTTATAATTGGCTTTGTAAAGTGGATGTACCATTTAAATATGTACAGCTATACTCAGTTGCAAGTTAAGAAAAAAATCATCATCCCTATGAAGAGAGCCTGTTTGCATATAAATACATGCGAAATGGATGGCGATGTTGATATACATTCGTGCTAGGAACGTATAACATTACTCATAATTGGCTTTGTAAAGTGGATGTACCATTTAAATATGTACAGCTATACTCAGTTGCAAGTTAAGAAAAAAATCATCATCCCTATGAAGAGAGCCTGTTTGCATATAAATACATGCGAAATGGATGCCGATGTTGATATACATTCGTGCTAGGAACGTATAACATCGCGAACTTTCATTTAAAGAAACTAATGGAAGAATAAATAAATATTGTTTCTTGTAACAATTTTCTTCTATAGCGAAACAAAAGATCTCAAATTTGTTTTGTTAAGGGCATGTTGGCATAAGCCATGCCATTTTTAGTTAATCAAAATCAACGCTTTTGCAACGTCATATAGTTATTTCTTTTTCAAGTACAAATGTTCTTCTAATTTATCGAAATATGTCGCCAAGTGTAGAATTCTATTAAGACTACAAAACTATAACCTTTTTTAATAATTCTATAATTTATATTGTAAGAGATAGTATGAATTAAACTGTCAGACCTGTTAAACTTTTAAAAGCTTTTATATAGTTTTTGAAAGCAGATTTGAATAATTTGATAACGAAATGAAACATAACTATATGCATTCACAGATGATTACTTAAATTGTATACTGCAATGGTCTTTTCTTAACTTGCAACAGAGTATAGAATGACATACCACTAATAATTAATTATTTGCTGTATAATATTAAAAAGTTTCAGATGGTAATTTTTAATTCAATACTTTGGCTATGTAAAGTATTGATAACTAAGTAATTGATAACTTTTAAATTTATCTTAATCAGGTATTTATTTTCAGGTATTATAAACATGAAAAACTATAATTCTATAAAAAATGTAAATTAATATATCTTGCTCGCATAAGTTTAAAAAAAAATTATAGAGAAGACCTTTACATAACTAGAAACTAGAGGATTTTCAGAATTTTGCATATTATAGATCTTCAATTTGTATAAATTTTCACAGCACACTTTCATGTTATAAATTTATTATATTTAAATATATACTATTGAAAGTTAACTAATTATAATTTATAACAAATTGATAATTTATCTTTGAATATTTTTTAAAACTAGTGGGCTGCGCCCCCTGCTCGCTAACGCTCGCCAACCCCCGAAAATTGCTACGCAATCTTATATGGTTTGCTTCGCAAACCAAGCTCGCTTCGCTCGCTACTAACTTAGATACATTGCAAATTCACAAAATTCTAAGAATTCAAAACAATCATTCAAATCCATATAACGACTTTTAAAAAAAAAAAAAATTACATCTTTTTAGTAAATACTAAGTCAGTAAAATAAATTTGAATTAAAATAAATGACATGTAATTAGTTAAACCTATTAGAAATGTGCTATAGTATAAAATCTTAAGATAAAATTTCTAAAACTGATATCTCTTTAAAAAGGTTAAAATTTTGGCTATAATTAAGTCTATTAAAAGTTGAAATAAGTGAATTGCAATGGAAAAGCCTGTATAAACAAAACATTGAATTTCGGAAGAAATCACATTCGGTGAGAATGCTCTCTCTTGTCAAAAAATACAAAATAAACTGACCTCAAATAAAACTCAAAGGATTTCGAATCAAATAATTAAGGAAACTACTATCACGCTTAATACAAAAGGAAGATTTATTAACTAAACAATAAAATTACAGCATCGCAGTTCCAAAAAACAAATCTCACACTCACTCAAAAAAACAATTTACCTTCTAATTAGTCACCATAGCAACCACAAAACTCTTCTCGTTACCATCTATAAACTGATATATAATAAATAAATTATTTAACAAAAAATACGATGCGCATAAGCACATAATATTTTACACTCTGGTTATTTCAGTTTCCGTTTTTAGAAGCGCTATATGTTGAGCCACCCAATCTAGATTTGGCATGTGACATTTTTAGCGGCAATCATTGGTCGATTTTCTAGCGTTGCCATTCGGGGAGTTGTAATGAGGCTTTTTTTTATCGCCGTGTAAGAGAAATATATATATAGATTCTTTTTCTAGCTTTCTTTAAAGGCAGTATCATTTGATTTTTTATACTCCTAAAGATAAGAAGATAGTGAATGTTAGAGAATCAACAGCAAAACTTAAATTTTTTTTAAAGTAACAAGTTACAACAATTTTGGAAAGCAATTTAAAGTTAAAAAAAAACAACAAAAAAACAGTACTTCATTGTCTTGTCGCCTCTTGAAAATTTCATCTTCAGCTTCTCCGAGATCTGCAAGAAATTACAATAACAACATAAAAAGATATCGTTACATACTTTACATGTAAAAAAAATATCTTTATACACTTTACAATAACTTCCTATTTACTATTTATGAGTCATTTAGACATAATATTCAAAAAACTACTTAGTAACTTTGATTTGCCATGACACAGAAAAAAGTAAAACAAATTGTACGAATGATAATTGGTTGTGAAACATGTCTAAATTTGCAGAGTATGGCACCCAAAAAGCATATTTTTGTTGCTTATTGTTCTATTTCTTCAAGGATACCAAGGAATTCATCAGAAAAAGAGCTATTAAAATACTTTTTATAGTAGTTTTCAATGTTAATCTAAAAACTGCATCAACATTAACTTGATCAAATTGAGTGATAACATTGTATCTGTATAAGATCTAATAAGTTAGAAAATACTTTTGAGGACATTCATTTGGCAATCTAATAAAGACAATTCTTTGGGAGACCACCTTTCTTAAAGACTGACTTTTCAGAAAATCAAGGGTACTTTTCCGGGAGAAGATCAACTGTTCATTATGATACTTCTTAACTCATAATTATAACAGATAACTATTTTGAATATTTTAATAAAAATAAAAATTATTCATTTTAAAAAGGTCTAAAAGACTAAAAAAAAAGGGGCTTACAATTGTCTAGTAAAACAAACTTATTTTTATTATACTGTTAATTATTTGGCAGATCTTAATGAAACATAAATACAGTCAATCACAAGATTTATTTTATTCTGTTTTTTATATCTTATTTATTTTCTTAATCAATATAGCAGTCAACTTTTCATTCAATTTTTAACAGGCTACGAATTATTATTCAATGTCATGACAATATTGAAACATTCTTTTTGTTAGATTCTGTTCATTTCAACTGTTTATACAATATATACATTATAGGTTTGCTTTATGGTAGGGACAAATTCCTTTTATCAAATTATTTAAATAATAAAATTATGTACCGTTAAAAAAATTCATTAATGGATCCCTCCCAATATTCCAAAGCATCTATTAATTATTCTTCAATCGGCTTTTGATCACACAAGTTGGGAGTTCTGAACTCTTTTGGTTTGTTATGCTTCATTTAACATCATTATTGAAAATTAAACAAAATAAATATATCTATGAAAAATTATTTTCAGGTGAGGACCCTTTCTAGGCAAATATCATTGCATGACTTTTTTTTTTCTAATAATAAACTTTTCCTTTGGATTAAGATATCTTTAATCCTATTTCCGTCTGACTTCTTAGCACATAAGCCTCAAAATATAAAAAAATCTTAGATTTACCTTCTTTGCCAAAATGTGGAAAATAGAAATGGTATGTCAACAAGTTTTCCTCACTATTGATACTTACTACATTTATTTAAAATATTGCCAACAATAAAGTCATTACAATGTCTATTATCAAGGTCACAAATTATTTTATAAATGAATAAAGAAAAAAAATACAAGAAAAAAGCCTGAAAAACACTCAAGATTTACAATGAAAGTCAAATTAAAACCATCAAAACAATGGACAATTACAGCATATCATAATTTTTTTTATTTTCATACCTAACTTATTGGAAATTCTCCCCTGAAACCGAAAATCTGATTGTTTTTTTCGGCAAATGTTAATTTATTTAGTTATTAAACATTTAAATTGCCCCAAAAGGCCTCCGTAAGTGATGCAATCAAAAACGACCCCTGATTGGTTATGACGTCAAATGTGCCGAAGGGAAACGTGCCGTCTCCATCCGCTAAGGCTTTTTCAATGCTCTTTTAGTTTTGATATCACGTATACCGTATGAACATCCTTTGTAAATTATCAGTAAAAATTTTGTGAATTAAATTTACGGTTCTGAGAGTGTGTGCAAAATGAAAGAAAGATTTTAAAACTTCAAACGTTGTTATTTATCATTAAAATATCTGAAGAAATGATTATGAATGATAAACTCTTTACAGCCAATCAACATTTCTTTTCGGCTGAAATCAGTGGTGTTAAAGTTCATAGAAAATACTATTTTATTCCATTTACTTTTAAATTAAAATAATGCTTCATTACAACCTAATTACATAATTAAAATAAGTCGCAGATTGGATAGAAATTTTATACATTTTGATATAGGATGAATGATTTTATAATTCGTTATTGCATTAAAACAAATCAGTATTTTCATAAATCTAGTCCATTGAAAAATATCAGTCCATCATCGTTACAATCTATGTGCTAATGATCAAAAATTCAAATAATGTAATTTAATGTTGCTTCTTTAATTTATTTATTTATTACTAGAGTTGAAGGATTTTCTTTTTAAGTAAATACTTACTAATGCAGTTTATGTCATCTTTTTTTGTTTGTTTCACTATGTATTAAATATTTAAATACACATTAACGCTTATATTTATTATTCCTAGCTTAAATAGGAATTCCGTTACAGTTCAAAATTATTTTTATTTTTAAATTTATAAATTTTAATTCCTTTTTCTGCAATATAGTATTTATAAAGTATGGTTATTGTTAATTTCTCTCCTTATTTTTGCAAGCTATTTGTCAGTGCTTGCAATGAAGAATTCTAAAATAGTAAAATTAATACATTATACATTTTTAATTAAAAAAAATTTAATAAAATAGTTTTAAAAAAATATCAGGTTATGCATACGGTATAGCCGAAAACGTATCAACACTTTCAAGAATCTAGTCCATTGAAATATATCTGACCATCATCATCACCATAATCTAGTTATACTTAAAATTTCACTTAATTTCTCATTTATCCATATCTAATTAACTTATTTATCCACAAAATTTCAGCGAATATCATTAAGCTGGAAGTTTTTGTTTCACTAAAGCTAGAGAAGAAAAATAAAAAATTAACTTATACAAAATGGAAAGAAATTCTAATGCACATTCTTAATAATTTATTAAATAATTAAAAAATAAACAGTAATGTTGATATTTTTTCTCAATATTTTTATTTTTTGAGTAAATAGGAACTTTGCTATGGCGAAAATTTTTTTTATATGCATTTATGAAATTTTATTCCTATTTCTGCAATAAAGAACTAAATAAATGCATATGCTTGATTTCAAATACTTATAGCATAGATTAAGACAATTAAAGTAAAGTTAATAAAATCTGCAGGAATATATATATATATATTAAAGTTTTGCTGGGATCACAAGTTTTTTAAGAGGCTACTGCTGTGAAGACAATTACATGCTTTGAATTCACGCTAGAATAAATAGATAAAAATTATCAGTAACTTACGCTGTCCTACATTTTAAAATCTAAAACTATTTATTCTACATAAGAAATTGATCCAACATTTCTTTCACTTAAGATGAAAATAAATCTTCCAAATGAACTTGAAGTATACATTAAAATTAAGATTATAGTTAAAAAATGAAAAAACGAAGTTATTTTGTATTTATAACGCATCATTTATAAGCAATACCATGCACTTTTTTTATTGAACTAAAAAATCTTAAATATTCCGAGCTAGAAAATTTCGTCAAGTATTAACAATGTTTCAGTGGGTACCACTGAAATTTAACATTATAAAAATACGTTATATCAAATCCAAATTTTTATTAAGCGATATTAAGGCGCAATTTTTTATACAGATAGCTTTAGACCATCTAAAATGGTTGTATTTAATTAGAAAATTTAAACAAAAGCAAGAACGCATTGGTTTTCACAGCACATCTATTGTAAGTGAACGGCAGATGGACACGTGTGACGTCAGTTCGTGAATAATCACGTGACTCCCCGTTTCAGGCGAAAACGAAAGTATGCGTTTTTTGATTGAAAATAACTAAATAAATAGCCTTCTTAGAAAAGTAATAAAATGTTTTCTAGGAGTTTTGAGGGATTCTGAATGCATTAAAATTATAAAAAAATTTGACTGTAATTGTCCATTTTACTAACAAAAATCAAAAGGCAGTATCATCAATTTTTACTTGTTTAAACAAGTAAGATATTGGTTATTTTCAAGTCAAAATAAATGCAAACCAGAATAATTGAAATGATCCTTTTCTTATTGAAAAAGAAAACCTGATATACTTTTTACCATTGTTAACTAATTTAAAACAATCAATGATTTTAAACTTTTTTTAAATCATTTACTTAAAAGTGCAGATGAAAGAAAGATATCTTGTATACAAAAATAGTAATAATGAGGCTCAATTGGTATTTCCATTGATAAATATATTAATTTCTAATTTAAAACTAAGGACAACAATTTAAAAACTTTATATTATAATCTAACTCAGCTTTTATTTATTTTGCTGTAATTGCTAATCATACCTGCAATCAAACAAAATAAAAACATGAGATATTAATTACACAATTCATTTACAAACAAAGTCTTGCGTTTCGATACATTCATTTACAAAATCATTTCAAAGTGTTTATGATTAATTGCATAACTTGTTTACTAATAAAAAAGGAAACAAACTTACAAACAAAACAAAAAACTTATGTTAAAATGTTTGAAATAAATACAACTAAAAAGTGTATGAAAATCAAATTTAATATGTTAAATATCATACCATTCATAATGAGTTGAACTCTATTCAGATCTACATGTCCACTGTCAGTCACAAATCCCTGAAAATTTTAATAATTTTGTATAAGAAATGAAAACATAGATATTCATATTAATTCGACAATTTAATTAGCATTGAATATTATTCAATATGAATAATTTTAATGTTCTCAGAGTTTATGTAATAAATTTGATTTTAAGAGTAGGTAAACCTTAAAAATAATAATAATAATAATAGAAAAAAGATTTAAAAAAAAGCCTCAAAATGTTGCTTATAAATGACACTGTAAAAAAAGCAAAACAACAGCTCAAAAATGAAAGAATAACAAAATATACTTATTAATCAAGCTCTATGTGCATACTTTGTTGATAAACAATATGCTAAATGTATACCATAACTTTATAAAAAATTTTGCATGAAATATTAGCAGTACGAAGTACTGCTGGCTAAATATTAAACTATTTTTTTCACAATTCACATAACATATATGGGAAGTTTTATTTGTATCCATTTAGTGGAACCAGAACTAGCTCCATTTTAACTACCCCGTATATTACTTTTTGACAAATAAATGTCACTTGTTTTAAATAAACTCTTATGATATAAGAAACAGCTTATTGAATATAGTAAGTTTTAAATTGAGACAACAATTGAATTGAATATAGTCATCAAACTCTTTATTTGTGAAAAATATAGTCAAAAGATAAGAAACAGCATTTATTACATAAACAAACCATATAAAAACAAGAAAAAAACACAAAAATCTATATTCTATGAACTGAAAATTCATCAAAAATCAAACGAGGTTACTCACTATAATTTGAAACAAATAAATGGCTCTATAAATAACTATAACAATGCACATTTTTTTAAAGAAGAACTTTAATAACATCCAATTATGAACATCATTGGCTTTTAACATAAGTTAGTTCCTCTTTTTTTTTGTTGATAAAATAACACTAAATATGTAATGCATTTGAATGAACTCAATTCACCATGGGAACAAACAAATTTTTAAAAAAAATATATATATATAAATAAACAAGTAAAAAAAGCTAATATAAAATTAATAAATACACACCCCAGTTTTATATACTGCCTTTTTATAAAGATCAACCAAACGATCAATGGCTCCTTCCCTAAATAAATACAAAAAGTTAAAACATGGATATGCAGAATGTTTTGATATGAACCACTTTTAATAATTAGTTTTAAAATGTTTGTCAAAAATTAAGTTCAAAAAGTATACACATTAGCATCTTGAAATAAATATTTAAGTAAGGTAAAAGCAAAAATGCAGTTTATATTGAACAATTCACCATTGAAGAAGCGATTGTAAACATCAAAATCAGTATGATTGTTTCATTAAACTTGAAGGTATTTGTAAAAATCACCTTTCAACTCATTTTTGCTTCCATTTGCAACCAAATAAGTTAAAATGTTCTTTGTTCTGTTTTCCTTGGTAGGGATTTATTAGATATTGATAGTATTCTTGTTTTTCTATCACCTAAGCCTCTCATGTGCTATAATTTTTGTACTTCACTTTCGACATAAACCTTTTTTTTTTTTTAAAAAAAAAAAAGACTAATATTTCAAAAATGAAACAGTAATTTTATTGTGAACAGGCTGCCGGTAAAAAAAACCACAGAGAATATATTTTTAGCCAAGCAAGGAAGTTAATATATTAACAGGCATTCTTATAAATATTATAAAGCTGCGCCTGATAAAATTTCTCAAAAAACATTTGCTAGAGTTGGCAGTACATTTTTCTCTTAATATAAAAACTAGGGCTGAAACAGCCTGGTTGGTAGGGCATTGGGCCTATGTCCAGGGGGTAATGAGTTCAATCCCTGCTGTCCAAAGACTCCTCGTGTTCAAAAGGATGACTAGATCTGCCTGGGTCACAAAGTCCTCTAAGTTCTCATAACAAATTAACATCCTTGCAGGAATTAGACGGGGTCACTGAAAAACGAGAAGAAGCGCACCTATCTGCCTTAAAATAAGTTTGCCAGTATTGAGAAGTGGCATAAGACAACAACAATATAAAAATTTTCTCATGAGCATCATTTATCATTGTAACCCATTATGTTTTTTTCATTATTTCATGGAACATATTTGCAACAAATATTTTATAATAATTAAATGATTTGGTATGAATTAGAGTATGGTTAACAAATAAAATAAAAGTTAACACAGATGCTAATAAAAATTCATTGGAAACTCAAGGCAAAAGAATAGCAATTACCTAAATCAAAAGTAATTTTTGATAAATAATCAAAACAAGTTTGAAACAGCAAAATCAACAAATTACCCAATGAAATTCTATAAAAGTTGTTTTTGATCGATTTTACGGTGAACACAAAAATATTTATGAACGTTTAATATCCAATCTTAGTATCTTACATAACAATTTTCTCTATCCATATCTATAATATTGCAAAGCCTAAGAGTTTAAATGAATTCTGAATACATATAAAATCCTCACCATACAAAGAACAATATAATGTATATTTACCTGATTTCCAGAGATGGGAGATGAGGTAAAAAATCATTTCCAACAAAAAAGCACATGAATACCCAATCATCAATTGCCCGCTACAAAGAAAAATGTTTTATATTTAAAAAAGAAATTTTTCAATTCATAATGCTAAAATGCATATAAAAATTATAAAATATTATGATGATAAATATATATAATTATATAAATAGAAATTCAAAAAAGAAAAAAAAACTACGGTTGAAGGGTAAAAATGTTAAAAAAATTGCTAATAAATTAGAAAACTGACCTTAGACACCTCGAGATTATGGGGGGAAAATCTACAGGGGAAAAAATGGCAATTTACATAGATGATATATTTAGAGATATGCTACTTCTAATAGCATAACTTCAGTATATTATTGCTGTTTATTAAATTTTCCTTATTTTCTTATTTAAAAAAAAACACCTAGTTCAAAAGGAAGATTATGAAAAGTTTTGAATTCTAATGGTTTGAAATAAAAAATTTAAAAAAAAAAAAATAATAATAGGTCAATAGCTGAATCACATCTTAAAATAAATATAGAGTTTAATCTTGCTACAATAAACTTGGGACATAGTGAATGCTTGGTTGTAATGAACTTTTTTAGTGGTCCTTTCTGAACAACCATTTAAATAATGTTATTTTATACACTTATAAGTTGAATGAGAAAAAAGAAGAGATATATACTAATCACTTCAAAGAGTTTACAAATTGTTCCGAATACTGACAAGAACTTTCTAAATAAAGCATACTCTAATTCTAGAACGTTTATGTTCTAGCAATAAAAAAGGACACGTAGAAAACAATAAAATATTACTGCCATTAATCATTAAGTCTTTACAGTACTTCACTGGCTGCATAAAATATTCTTTCAATTAAATACTTAAATTATTACTTTAACATAATCTTTTTGACAAAAATATTGGTGCTAAAATAAATAGAATACTTCTATAATACTTATTATTAATAATAATTATAAAGAATAAAAAATATTTAAATTTCCTAAAATAAAAATTGTCATTTTCAAAGTTTTTTCATTCTATTACTCTTATAAACACACATACTTTCATTTTAAATTTATCTTTATCCTAAAATTCTTTTGTTGACATGTTCCCGGCACATCCCTAATAACAAATGCAGTCAAACTTAAATTTTTAATCATGATGTATGACACTTATTAAGGGCCAAACTTTTATTTACTTCTTAAAAGACAAGTCTACAATATTAAGTATTATATAATTCATTTCAGCAGAGTAATATAAAAATAAAAAATTCAAGGATATAAAATCTAGGATATGCTTTAGTTTTATACTTTTAAAGAATGCATCAAAACATAATTATGTAGTAAAATTTTATTAATAACAGCAATATTTATCTTACTTCTAAATCATACTGGAATGGTAAGTTTTCCATAGCCAATTCTTTAGCCAGATATTCTCGCAAGACATTTAAACGAATGAAAATAAACTCTGTATCAATTTCTAGAGGTTTTTCCAATTCATCAAACTGCAAATGAGAAAAAGAAAAAAAAAATCATAACGTGCACTTTTCCTGTTAATGAGTTTTAGAAAATAGGCATTTATTTAAGTTTAAGAATTTTTAAAGAACAAATAAAATTTCCTTTTTGAAATGTTTATATATATATATTTGATTTCAAAGGGTGTTGAGTATTTTTCCTTCAAAATTTCTGAAAATAGAATTTTGTACTGTTGAGATTAAAGAATTATATTATAGGTCAAGTATATTATCAAGCTTTGGACCATTTCTTATCTAAATTTTAACAACAAAATTCCTACGAACTTGTATTAAAATTCTTTACTAGACATGAAGATATTAAAAACATTATAGTTGTATGGCCTGTAAATTCCTTTTATGAAATATTTATTTATTAAATAATTTTATATTTCTATATTAAATAATGAAATATTATAAATATTATATACAATTAAATTTATATATAATATTTCTGAGCTGTTCAATGTGTTGAGGTTTTTGAAACCTATGTCCAGCCTAATCAAAAAGGAATTTAATTGTTCTCAACAGACAGTTAGGATTATGAGAAGAGATCCATAGTTGGCGATATTTAAAAAAATAAAATGGCCAAAAACAAAGCTGACTCCACATAATTAATATTGTAATTTCAAAATAATTTGGCTGTAGAATAATCACAAAAAAAATTAGAATAACAAACATTTTTGTGGTAAGCAAAATAACGAGTTAAAAATAGATTTTGATGTTCGATTTAGTAGCGACAGTGAATTAAGGAGTTTTACATTTGTATCAAATTAAAAATTTAGCTGTTACATTGATTGTTAAGAAGAGATAAAAATATTTATATTTGCTTTTGATAAAATGAAATAAATATTAAATAATTGGTCTAATTCAATTAGATTAGGAATAATTAAAAAAATTAAATTTATGAGAAATTTTAAAAGCTATTAAACATGTAATGCATATTATAACATTACAATCAATAAATTTATTTTCTATTTTTTTTATGCTGATAATAATGCTAAGACCAAACCAACCCGTAAGATCGGAAATGAAAGCTAAAGTGAAGTGTTTTAGTTTTAAAATGTTTATGAAATTATATTTAGATTCCTTCATAAAAACTTAGCTTAAAAAAAAAATTGAGGATTTATTGAGAAATTGCAGACAATATAGTTTTACAATTCTATGAGCAATAATTGAAATCTTAAAAAAAAAAAAAAAAAATTCAATGAAAATATGGACGTCACCTCTCACAATGCTGAGTAAAATTGTACGGAAATTAGCTTGCTACGCATTGCTTTTTTAATGAATACTAAGAGGAAAACCAGTTTTTGTTAATTAAATTGTTATAATATATTTCGTGATGCCATACAAGCAGTACTAACAATAATTGTTAAATATCAAAAGTTAACTAACAAGTTTATTTTGTTATTTATTCAAAATGTTACAATGTACAAGATATTAAATTAATATTACAATAATAGGATTATCATATTTAAAATTTACTAATAGAATAACTAACTGTTTATTCAATTACAAGTGTCAGGAACCTATGGTATTTATAAATTCAGGGTATACTGTATCAGAAATTTGCCTGTTTGTCCAAAAGCTAGAATCTCAACTTTTCAGAAATAACGAAAGCAAATAAATAACAAATGAATTTATGCAACTTTACAACATTTTAATTTCAGATTTACTTACTTCACCTTGTTTCTGTTTAGCCCCTCCTGTGCACTCTTTCATGTCATGACCTTAATAAATAGAAGGTAAACAATAAACGGTCAACAATAAAATAATAATATGTTAATACCAACAATAAATATCAAAACTTTATTCAACTTTATATGACATATAATTACCAATTTTCCTTCTTGAAAAATTAATTAACTTTCATCACTTTGTTAAGGTAATTCCTACTCAAAATGTTTTGAAATCAATTAATTATCACAGGTATTCTGCTTCAGAAGGTAAAGAGCATCAAATCATTCTTTGTCGATTTAATTGTAACTAAATAATTATTTGTTTACAGACGCAACTTATACATACTGTCATATTTTATGAACATCCAAAACTTTTCACCAAGATAAAAACACAATATTCAGGTGGAAATATTTGAAATAAATTAAGAGAATCAATTAAATAAAACTACAACAATTTACAAAAATACCCAACAATACAGTTTTTAGAAGGTTATTAAAAGGTTGAAAAAATAGTTTCAGGCATTACCTATGTTTTCCCAATGAGCTAAACTTATCCTTTTTTTTTGTAGTTTTGTGAGATAGAAATTTTAAAGCACATAAGTTATATATATATATATATATATTATATAAGTTCAAAATGAAGACAAAACAGAGGAAAATTATAGACATATGTCTATAATTTGTCTATAGTTTTGTCTTCATTTTGAACTTATCTAATGAGTTCTGTTTACTTGCAGCTTATGCGCAATAAATGAAACTTATTGTTTTTCTTAACTTTCTTTGTGTATACATATATATATAGGCTTTAGTTTTTATCCTAGGGAAAGTAGCAAATGATTTTCCCTCTATTTTATTATATCTCAGGGAAAAATTAATAATTACAATTGGTTTATTAAATAGGTAGTGCGATTCCCACAAAGGGAAAAGTGTCTTTTTTAATTAACGCATACTTGAGTCAAAAATAGATTATAGGACAGGATGTGAATTTAAAAGTGTGAGAAAGCATTTTGTTTTGAATAGTAAATTAAGAAAAGGATTTACAGAAAAGGAATAACATAAAAAGGACTTTTATGTTACATATATATATATTAATATCATATATCAACATAATTCAGCTTTCTTAGATAGATTTTTGTTGCTTTTGAATTTAACATTTTTAGCTTCATTGAAAATCTATTGCATATAAATTTCTTTTAATATCATTTCTTTCTACAATACAAAATTTTAGTTTCATAAAGGAATTTATATATATATATATATATATATATATTTAAGTATATATTTGTTTTGCTATTTTTAAGGGCATTTTGATTATGGAAATGTTTTAGGTTCTTAAAATTTGGATGATGCTTATAACTCAATTAATTATATTAATTGTTAATTAGATTAAAAGAATTTTAAATTAACTGCATAAAAAATTAATTCAAACTTTTGAAACTGATCTCCATCTCTTTATGGATGGTCTCCCAGTCTAACATAAAAATTTCCAACTTTTAAAATTGCTGCGTATGTGATAGAAATCAGGCGATCTTTTGAGACTTACCTATTTGACCGCATAATTCACAGGGCCTTGGTTGATTTGGCTTAAATTCTTCTCGAATAATAGTAAAGTTGGGTTCATGCGTAGCTAAGCCTAAAATTAGGAGAGAACAATTAAGCATGGTGTTCTGTTGTTCAAATAATATTTTTTTAATAAAAATGTGCAAACAGGGTATAATTGAATTGGATATTTAAATGCATAAGTTTTATAAAAACATTAAACAAGACATTTTTTTAACTTACACAAACGTTACTGGAAAAGAAAAAGAAATATTTTATTTATATTTTTTAAATTAGCAACAAAATAAAGTTAAGTAGAAAAGGATAACATTAATTTTGATTTTAAAAAAAGGCAATTTTAAATTAGTTCTAAAAAATTTTTCTCTACAAGATTAGTTTGGATGATTAGTTTCACAGAAATTGCATGATTATAGGATAACTCTTAACTATGCAGCAATCTGGAGAAAAACATTAGGCAAAACAAAATCATAAATAGTAGAAATTTCTTTAAAATTTAAAGAAAATATTACAATAGTTACTAACAAAAAGTGTTATATTTTACAATGCAAAAAAAAAAAAAAAAAAAAAAAAAAAAAAAAAAAAAAANTTTAAAAAAAAAAAAAAAAAAAAAAAAAAAAAAATCCTAACCAGCTACACATAAAATTTGTATTTTCTTGTAAGAATGAATAATTTTTATTTATTTTATTTTTTTGTGTACATGCTATTAGTGTCTTAACAATTTCTCCAGTCTTTCATCATTTTTAAACTAAATAACAAAATTTTAATGTAAAACAACGAAGATTCATAAAATAATAATAAAGATTTAGAGCAATTTACCATTTGAACTTAGCATGCTTTGTTCAACATAGCAGTGCCTCAGTTCAAATATAATTCGACTAAAATTACACAAATAAGCGGTTACTCTGGTAGTTCAATGAAATTAAATTGCATGCAATTTTCTTAACATCTCTTTCAATGACTTGACAGACCTTTGATTGCCAAGGCATTCTCTAGAATCTTTTTCCATTCTGTTCTCTTTTTTGTCAGGGTGTTCAAGCTGGTCACTGTCTTTAAATCAATCCACCTTACTCAGGGCCCACCTCTAATTCTGATTTCAACTGATTTAAAATTAAAGATTCTGTATATTAAGGAGGATGGGCTTCATTCAGCAGATGATTACAACAAATATAAATCAACTACCTTTGATGTAGTTTATAATATTTGCTTCTCTTTAAGGAGGATGGGCTTCATTCAGCAGATGATTACAACAAATATAAATCAACTACCTTTGATGTAGTTTATAATATTTGCTTCTCTTTAACACTTAGCTAAATTTTTGCAACTGATCTTTCAGCATCAGTTTATGCCACTGTTGCTGATTTGAGCAATATAAACAAATTAGAATTTAAACCAACTTGGTGAAGATGGTTCATCTGGTATTAATATCAGAATCTCGATATTTTCAATACTGACACTAATATTTACCAAAACACCATAACTAAAACTACAAAGAATTAACAACTCAGATACCTACAGCAAATTTTATTGCACAAACAATATTATTACAGTCGGACCTCTATTTAACGAAGTCGCTAAATCCCGAAAAAAAGGTTCGTTATATGGAAAATTCGTTAAATAG